ATTGGTAATTCCCCTTATGACTGGTGGGAGGCTGTTGAACAGTCTTGGGCCCCGGACACTTAAGTGTTTTCTCTTAGTGTACTAATTGTGCCCCTACTTTTCACTGGGGGTATGTTACATCACCAAGTCTTTTGCTTTCGTAGGGAGTGATTTCTGTGTGCAGATTAGGGACCAGTCCCTCCAGCATTTTCCAGGTGTAGCTTATGATCTCTCTCTCTCGCCTGTGCTCCAGTGAGTACAAGTCAAGTGCTTCCAAGCGTTCCCAGTAGTTAAGGTGTTGGATGGAATTTATATGTGCAGTAAAGGTTCTCTGTACATTCTCTAGATCTGCAATTTCACCTGCCTTGAATAGAGATGTTAATGTACAACATCACTGCAGCCTAGAGCGAATAAGTGATTTAAAAAGGATCATCATTGACTTGGCATCTTTAGTCTTGAATGTTCATTTTATCCATCCTATCAGTTTCCTCGCAGATGTCATAGTGGCACTGTTGTGATCTTTGAAGGTGCGATCCTCAGACATTACCACTTCCAGGTCCTTCACATTACTTTTCCTCTCCACTGTGTGATTATAGTTTGTAGTATACTCAGTTCTAGTTATTATTTTCTCCAGTTTTCCATAACGGATTAGTTGGAATTTGTCTTCATTGAACATCATATTGTTCGCCGTTGCCCATTGGAAAGCTTGGTTTATATCTTCTTGGAGATTTGCCGTGTCCTCAATGGATGCAAAGTTCTAAATGTTGGACAGGATAACAACCATGCCACATATAAACTAAATAATGTATATCTTAATATCACGGACTGCGAAAAAGATTTAGGAGTTCTGGTTAGCAATAATCTGAAACCAAGACTACAGTGCATAAGTGTTCGCAATAAAGCTAACAGAATCCTTGGCTTCATATCAAGAAACATAAATGATAGAAGTCCTCAGGTTTTTCTTCAACTCTCTATATCCTTGGTTAGGCCTCATTTAGATTATGCTGCACAGTTTTGGTCACCGTATTACAGAATGGATATAAATGCTCTGGAAAACATACAAAGGAGGATGACAAAGTTGATTCCATGTATCAGAAATCTTCCCTATGAGGATAGACTGAGGGCTCTGAATCTGCACTCTCTAGAAAGGCGTAGAACCAGGGAAGATATGATTGAGGTGTGTAAGTGGAAGACAGGAATAAATAAAGGGGATGTAAATAATGCGCTGAAAATATCTAGCCTAGACAGGACTCGTAGCATTGCTTTTAAGTTGGATAAATTCAGATTCAAGAAGGATATAGGAAAGCACTGGTTTGGTAATAGAGTTGTGGATGAGTGGAACAAACTCCCGAGTACAGTTATAGAGGCTAAAACGTTGTGTAGTTTTAAAAATAGGTTAGATAAATACATGAATGGGTGTGGATGGGTGTGAGTTGGACCTGATTAGCTTGTACTACTAGGTTAGTTGCCGTGTTCCTTGGGTGAATGTGACCTGACCTGACTAGGTTGGGCCATTGGCTTAAGCCGGTAGGAGACTTGGACCTGCCTCGCATGAGCCAGTAGGCCTGCTGCAGTGTTCCTTCTTTCTTATGTTCTTATGTTGATCCTAGTATCGTCTGCAAAGGATGATACGGTGCTATGGTTTTCATTTCTGTCTATGTCTGATATGAGGATGAGGAACAGCATAGGGGAGAATAGTACTGTGCCCTGTGGAACAGAGCTCTTCACTATGGCAGCTTCCGATTTAACTCTATTTACCACTACTGTTTGTGTTCAACTGGTTAGAAAATTGAGCACCCATCTCCCCACTTTGCCAGTTATCCCTTTAGCACGCATTTTGTGTGCTATTACACCTTGATCGCACTTGCCTTTGCAAAATCTGTGTATACTACATCTGCATTCTGTTTTCCAGTGCATCTAAGACCATATCATAGCGGTGCAATAGTTGCGAGGGGCAGAAGCGACCTGCTCTGAACCCATGTAGCCCTGGATTGTGCAACTGTTGGGAGTCCAAGTGGTTTGCAATCCTTCTTCGAACTCTTTCAAAGATTTTTATTGCGTGGGACGTTAAAGCTACTGGTCTATAGTTCTTAGCTATTGCTTTGCTGCCACCTTTATGGAGTGGGGCTATATCCGTTGTTTAAAGTGACTGTAGAATCTCACCTGTGTCTATGCTCCTTCTTCATAATAGACTTAGGGCCCACGAGAGCTACATGTATGTCTTCCAGTTCTTAATGAACACAGAGTTCCACGAGTTTGGGCCTGGGGTTGAGTGCATGGGCATGTTGTCAATGCCTTTCTCAAAGTCTAGTGGATTTAGGGTTATGTCAAAAATTTGGCATGCATTCACAGGGTTTTGAGGCTCATTCATGAAAAAAAATATTTGGATTGCCTATCTTTACATTGGTTAGTGGCTCACTGAGGTTTCAGTATCTCATTTATTTCTTTTTTGTCATCTGTGTAGGATCCGTCTTGTCTGAGCAGGGGCTCTATACCAGATGTGGTTTTTGCCTTGTTTCTGGCATATGAAAAGAAATATTTCGAATTTCTTTCTATTTCACTAATTGCTTTTAGCTCCTCTCGTCTCTTCTGGATCCTGTATGAGCCCTTTAAGTTCAATATTTTCCACTTCCCTAGTTATCGCTTCCTTCCATGTTTCAGATAATCTAGTATTCTTGAGGGACTCGGTGATTCTTCGCCTTCTTCTGTAGAGGAAGCGTCTCTCTCTCCAGGTTACTTCTCTTCTTTTTTTCTTAGAATATGCCTTGAACATACTTCAGCTACCAGAAAGTTGATCTTGTCAAGGCACTGGTTAGGTTCCATGCTATTTAAGATATCTTTCCAACATGTTTCATGTAGGACATAGTTCACCTGGTCCCAGTTGTTCTCCGGTCTTGTTGGCTCCACTATCTGCTGATTTAGGGTGTTTTTTTTTTTTTTTTTTTTTTTTTTTTGCAGAAATTCAGCAGCTCATGTGTATGTGACTTTTCATCTGAGCTCCCTCCAGGGATTATTTCTTCTACATTATTTATTACATTCTTCAATTTTGTATGTCTTAGATTGAAGTCACCAAGCAGCAAGATGTTTGGGGATGGGGCCGGAAGGTTTTTCCAGACAGGAGTCATTTTTTGCTAGCTGTTCATTGAACTGCTGCATCTGGTGGTTTATATACAAGTACAATGAATAAGTTTTGATTCTCGATTTTTACTGTTAGAGCTTCAACTACATCATATGCGGTGTTCAGTATCTCCGTGCAAATGAACGACTCTGACATACAGGCCAACTTTTCCTTGTTGCCCGTTCTTTCTGTCGCATCTGAAAAGGTTGTACCCAGTTATCCATATTTCATTGTCAAAGTAATCTTTTGCGTGGATCTCTCTGAAGGCTGCAAACATTGCATTTGACTTCCCTAGAAGTCCACTGATGAAAGGTATTTTGTTTTTTGGTGGATGGCTTACGGCCCTGTATATTAGCAAATATAAATGAGGTCGTGGTGCATGTTTGTTGGGGTGATTTTGTTAACATCAGTAGTTGTGAGTCTGGAGGGGCCACTAGCTGTGCCTCCAGTCCAATAAGGCTCCAAGGTGAACTATTTTGTTTATTTCTTTCCATTTTCTTTCTTCGTTTCCTACAACTAAAAAATCAATTGGAGTGGGGTTGTCGTAACTACTGTAACTACTATGATTTGTCTGCTGTGTCATGTCTGCGTTACAGGTCTCCATTTGTGATCCAACAATTCTCTCCCACCTGCTATCATTTAGAACCACGGTTCGAATCGCCGTAAATTCTGCTTTTTCACTGGCAGTCATCTATTACGATTTAACTCGAATTCGTATATTATGTAAGACAATTGTAAACACCTAAAACTTGTGTAATTGTACTTGTTTGTGACTGTACCTAAATATATTTACTGACAGTATTATATAGCTAGCCATAAAAATGAAGTGTGATAGACAAGAAGCCACCTGACGAAAGAGTGATGTTTCTTGGAGAGAAATGGTATACAATGAAAATAAGAGACAAATGCAGTTCATTGGAATCCTTTTCTGATAACACTTCAGCCACACACTGGTCTTTAGTAAGTTACAGATTTGCTGATGTGTTTGTGACCCGATAAAATCCACTGTGTGGGTGAAATGTTAATTAAGGATCGTATCATACTGCATTTGTCTTTTTTTTTTTTTTTTTTTTGCCTGGTGGTTAACGCTCTCGCTTCACACGGTGAGGGCCTGGGTTCGATTCCCAGCCAGAGTAGAAACATTGGACGTGTTTCTTTCCACCTGTTGTCTATGTTCCCCATCAGTAAAATGGGTACCTGGGTGTTAGTCGACTGGTGTGGGTCGCATCCTGGGACACTGACCTAAGGAGGCCTGGTCACAGACCGGGCCGCGGGGGCATTGACCCCCGGAACTCTCTCCAGGTAAACTCCAGGTACATTAGACTTCACCGCCAACGCGGCTAGTTTATTGTGCGCCCCATATCCATCCTGTGGACGGTAGCTCAAGACTGTATGGATACACAAAAGACTAAGAACTAAGCCCTAAAACGGTTAAGAGGATTACACTTCAATTTATATCTACGACTGTCTTATCTGTTGCAGGCAGATTTAGGATACTTGCTTAATAATCCATATATCTTCTTTTCACTGATAAGATACCGTGACATGTCACATAGGTTATTATACTATTTGTTAACCCACGAGGGCAATAATTTAACTGTCTCAGCTAAGTCTAGACCAGACTTGAAAAATTATCATAATATTAATGCAGAAGCGCTAAACCCGGAAGGATCATACAGCGCTCATGTTCATGGGAATTAATCGGGTCTGATTTAAAGGAAAGGTAGTTCCAATTCCTTGGAGCAAGAGTCCTTCACTGCCATCACCATTAAAGGAAAGTTTAAAAGACACCTTCACCGTACAATCCAGGAAACGCCCCTAAAAGTAAAAAAAAAAAAATTTAAAAACGTCGGGAAACGCATCCACTCCCCCTCCCACGTGCCGGAAGGAAGTATGGACTTACCTGCGTAATGGACTTGTGGCTCTTCGCCTGATGCACTTTATGCAGGTCGTCGGTAGAGCCATCAGACTGTGTGGCGCGTATGCACGCCATCACTCGTGCTCTTACGTTAACCTTCCTTCTACTTGCATCCTCTCACAGGTCTAAAGAATTATTCCTCTGGCTTGATAATAAACAATAACTTGTGGTGGTGTGCCTGATGGCCTCTTTCCCTTCACACTCTTGTAATTAACTTGATAATGACAAAAGACATTTCACTATTTTCCTAAATTTCTTATGGTTTACTCAGGGAAAGTGATGAGGGAAGATGGGTGGCACGGTGGAGGGAAGATGGGTGCCACGGTGGAGGGAAGATGGGTGCCACGGTGGAGGGAAGATGGGTGCCAGGAGAGAAGATGGGTGACAGTGGGAGGTAAAATGGGTGCCAGGGAGGAGGGTAGTTGGGTGCCAGGGAGAGGGAAGATTGGTACCAGGGTGGACAGATGGGTGTTAGGGGAAGGGAAGATGGGTGCCAGGGAGAGGGAAGATGGGTGCTAGGGCGAGGAAGATGGGTGCCAAAGGTGGGAAGATGGGTGCTAGGGGGAGGGAAGATGGGTGCCATGGGAGGGAAGATGGGTGCCAGGGAGAGGGAAGATGGGTGCTAGGGTGAGGAAGATGGGTGCCAGAGGTGGGAAGATGGGTGCCAGAGGTGGGAAGATGGGTGCTAGGGGGAGGGAAGATGGGTGCCATGGGAGGGAAGATGGGTGCCAGGGTGGAAGGTAGATGAGTGCCAGGGTGGAGGGTAGATGGGTGCCAAGGTGAAGGGTAAATGGGTGCTAGGGTGAGGGTAGATGGATGCCCAGAGGGTGGGTAAGTGGGGTGTGTAGGTGGGCTGGAACACCCTGGAGGGTGGCAGGTAACGTCTACAAGTCTGGTGTACCTGCAGGGATACCACCCTACACAGAGGCAACTTCTTTCAACTCAACTTTCCTGTCTAGTTTCCAGACGTCTGCTCTTAATTTCAATTACCTGTGATGTTGTATTTCTAATTTTTCCTTTTTTCAAGCCTCATATTCCGTCCCAAGTCAATTGTAAATAATATTTTAAAGTCTTTTCCTATGACCTCTCACTTATGTACCACGACACTATATTTGTTTTCTTGTTAAAAAGACCCACTTGCAAATATTTAACACGGTTATAATACATTACTAAGTGACTTGTATGTCAACACCAAGTCCTAGATGCAAAGTCCTTTTCGCTTAGTAATTTATTGTCTTAGTTTTCACTAAGAGAAATATGAGGTCAAGTTTTTTGGGTAATTGAGCTCGTTCTTAGAGTTTATTTTTTACATTACATTAATGACTAGACTTGTTAAGCCTGAACAACAGTTAATACACTTAAAATCGATTGCAATAACACAAGGATTACCAATTGATGAGTTTTCTATCACTTCTCTCTTGCTGGGTCTGTCTAGCGTGCAGCAAGCAAGGGGAGCTACAGCCCCGCCTGACACACGTGCCCATGCCACACTGCCCACATTTCCTTCTCAATTTTTGGACCTTTGAGAGGTGGTGCAAACTATCTCACCGGCGTGTAGACTCGTACTGCACCCCACGTGTTTTGACCTCCAATAATCCTAAAAAATATAAAACTTTCTTTCGTATAGTCTCCCGAACCACATTTAAACTGAATAGCTGGAAGAAATATTCATATAAATATATACTTTTTTCCATAGGTAAATAGAGAAGTCAACGTACTTAGTTTCTCGTACGTGTGGCAGCGGCACAGATGAGGGTTCCCCGTGTGCGGCAACCAGAGGCACGTTTACGCTGGGGTTAATTTTAAACTTATGAATTGATATACGCGTGAGCTCCCTTCTCTCACAAAAGCGATCTTGCTTCATATTTAGAGCAAACACGTCTGAAGACAAAAGAATCATTCCCTGTTACCGGGAAACAAGAGTTCATATAGAGGCTTAAACTTTCCGGTAAGTAGTTTCCTTCCGTGTCCCGGTGTTGTACTGGTGAACTACCGGCCCCGGTACAAGGAACACCATTGCCACTAATATGAATTACCATGTACTGGAAATTATCTTGGAGTTAAGGACAGAGGGACGAATTAATATACACTAGCTGGAATTCCTAAGAGGATGGATATACAGTGGGCGGGAGGGAGGGAATGGAGAGTAGGGATAAGCAAGGCCGCCGCCCTGCCTCCATCTCTTCCTTCCCGCCCATCCCTAGAACCCCACCCCCTAATATAAGCCCACGCCCACATCCCCACCCCCACTCTACCAATGCTCACAACCCCCCACTGTCACAAACCACGACACTGACCACATCCCCACTATAGCCCCTCCTTCCTGTTACATCCCACGGGCTCAGGTAACAAACCTGTCAAACACCCTCACTGTGCGTCACCCCTCTCCCCATCCTTCCTCCCTCCCTCCCTCCCTTCCACCCTTCTCTCTCTCTCTGTAATAATAATAATAATAATAATAATAATAATAATAATATCTTCATTTACTACAAGTACATGTACAAGGTATACAGGCCTAGCTGACAACAATGACATACTACTATATAGAAAGCCCCTTGTTATGCTCCGCATGTCGGGCAAATTAGGTCAGTGTCCCAGGATGCGACCCATACCAGTCGACTAACACCCAGGTACCCATTTTACTGATGGGGAACATAGACAACAGGTGGAAAGAAACACGCCCAATGTTTCTACTCTGGCTGGTAATCGAACCCAGGCCCTCGCCGTGTGAAGCCAGAGCGTTAGCCACCAGGTCACCAAACACACACACACACACACACACACACACACACACACACCACAGGGGAAGACCTCCCAGGAAATGGGCAAGCATCCATCACAGCTTCCGCTGATCCTTAGCCTCACAGCTGCATCACGACACTGAATGCAACTCTAATGAAAACTCTGATGGTGAGACTTAAGTCTGCCACTACCTCTCTGAGCATACAAGCTTGTCTGAACTCTTCAGATGACACTGTGTCATTACATTCAAAGTGTCATTTATGGCACTGTGTTATTAGATTTAAGGTATCATCGGTGAAAACTGTCATAATCATTTAAACATCTCTTAGGAGCTCTATGTACAAACAAGTTATAACCAACACAGGTACAAACAGAAAGACTGTGATACCTGGCCGTAAGATGGATCACCAATAGACGAAGTCATAGAGTACTAAAGGCAAACACCAAAAATAGTTTTTTCAGTACTCGTATATTCCCACCACTAATATTTACAACAGATCAGTCAAGTAGGCACAGAGAGAGAGAGAGAGAGAGAGAGAGAGAGAGAGAGAGAGAGAGAGAGAGAGAGAGGAGAGAGAGAGAGAGAGAGAGAGAGAGAGAAGAGAGAGAGAGAGAGAGGGGAGGGGAGAGAGAGAGAGAGAGAGAGAGAGAGAGAGAGAGAGAGAGAGGAGAGAGAGAGAGAGAGAGAGAGAGAGAGAGAGAGAGAGAGAGAGAGAGAGAAACACTCACTGCCAGCGGCTCAGATTTATACAAGAGAAACCACTTGGATTCCCAACAACTGCACAACCCAGGGCAACAGGGGTTTAGAGCAAGTCGATCCTGCCTCTCAACTACTGGACCACTATGGCACGGTTTTGGAGGCAATGGAGGGAAAAACAGAATTCAGATGTGGTTTACGCAGATTCTACAAACATAATTATGTAGCAGTGCACAAAATGTGTGCTAAAGGAATAACTGGAAAATTGGGGAGATGGAACTTTAACTTTCTAACGAATAGAACACAAAAAGTAATGGTAAACTGAGTTAAGTCCAAGGGTGTCACAGTGAAAAGCTATTCCAAAAAGTACAGTACTCGCCCCCATCCATTCCTCATTATCATATCCCGGTCATGACAGAAATATAAACAACAGCTCAGTGTCTTCTACTGCAACTAGTACTAGAATCTGCATGAGAGTCATCCACTGAGGACACGGTAAATCTCCAAGCGGATATAAACCAAGTTTTCCAGTGGACCCCGGAAAAAAATATGATGTTCAGCGAGGACAAATTTTTGTTAATCCATTATGGAAAACTTGAAATAAAAGCTATAGAGAATTTAAAACAAACTATAACCACACAATAGAGCGAAAAACTAATGTGAAGGATTTAGGATGATAATGTCAAAGGTTCTCACCTTCAAGGACACAACATTGTCACTATCACATCTGCGAGGAAAATGACATAATGGATAATGAGAACTTTCAAAACAAGCGATGCCATGCCAGTGAATATCCTCTAAGTCACTTATTCTCTCTAGACTATAATACTAAAGGTATAACAGCGCCATTCAAAGCAGGTGAAATAGTAGATCTAGAGAATGTACAGAGAACCTTTACTACACTTATTAGTTCAGTCAAGCACCTTAATTGCTGGGAACATTTTAAATCTCTTGACTTGTACTCCCTGGAACACAAGCAAGAAAGATGCATCATAATCTACACGTGGAAAATCCTAAAGGGGCTGGTCCCAGATCTGCACAGAAATTACCCCCTTCGGAAACAAAAGACTACGCAATAAAACATACCCCCAATACAAAGCATGGGAGCCATGAGTACACTAAAACACAATAAATGTCCAGGGCCCAAGACTATTCAACAGACTTCCATCATACATAATGGGAATTGCCAATGGACCCGTGATTGTCAAAAGGGAACTCGACAGATACCTAACGTCAGTGCCCAATCAGCTGTGCTGTGGTTTGTACGTTGGAATGCGTGCGGCCAGCAGTAACAGTTTGGTTGATCAGGCCCTGATCCACCGGGAGGCCTGGTCGAAGACCGGGCCATAGGGGCGTTCACCCATAGACCATCCTCTAGGTAAATACCAGGTACATAGGTAGGTAGTATATGTAATTAGCCAGAGCAAGTGAGAGACTGACCTCCAGACCTGGAAGTAGTTGTAACGTCAACTCAACTGGAGTTCGACCCCTCGCCCTGATTGGCTGACACTTATAACTGGCACCTATTCACAGTCCCCGATGACTTCACATCAATGAATTACCGGGCTCTGGCTGATTACAGAGTAAATGTAATATGTGGTTGTGTGATGCACACTGAATAAAGATGACATACTCGGTAACAATACACGGGTTCAAAAATTTCTACAATTAGAAACTATGAAGAAAGTAAATTTATGGGTAAAACTTTCTGACTGGCAGATTTAACTAATTCTATATATATCAACGAATTTTTTTTTTATCTTTTATGGGGGTACTTTATCTCCCAGGAGAATAATAACATTTTCTTCTGTCGGAGCTCTTAAGTCATACGACGACCTATTTGGGGAAGCTTTAGGTAAGACCGTAAGGTTTTCCCTGGTTTTTCCCCTCCACTCTATAAAAAAATAAAGAGCATATCATGAGATGAATAACAGGTTTCTTTCTTTTTTTTTTCTCTCTCTCTCTCTCTCTCTCTCTCTCTCTCTCGCTTGTGCCTATGCAGTACAAACGAAATGTGATTTCACATTAACTGCTAGAGCTTTTCATATATATTCACAGTATTCTAAGTCTTCATTCCGAATTTGAATTTATACATTTTTTATTTTCTGAATGTTTTTTAACAATTTCTTCATAAATTCTTAAGAGGGATAAACAGTTGTATAAATTATTACATCCTCCAGAACCAAAAATTACTGTTAAACAAACAGTTCATTATTTTCCAATAACATTCATAATTGTAGCTGTTACAAGAATTTTATACTCCAGGTGTGAGTTAGAGTTGTATTTAATCCTAAATATATTTCAAAACGTCTCTAAGTTCAAAGATGTTATACCTGTTGAATTATAGTCCTCTGTAGTCTACAGACTACAGAGGACTGTAATTCATTGTGAGTGAAACGTATAATAAAGTTTCTTAAAGATTAGTGTGTCTTTGAATGACCAGATTTAACTTTATATTGCCAATATGGTTTGAGCTTTACTTGCGTCAGAATTCTCAGTGTACGGAGTACATACATTTCGTGGATGAATAAAAGATTCCAATCCCATTCGCCTATCGCCATTCTTGCACCAACTCTATAAGGGAGAACAAAGGGGTTTTGCGAATACAATTTCAGAATCAGATTCTCATCTAGGGCTGCGAGGCGGGTCGGTTGGGGGTAAGCAACAACAATACCCAGTTGCTGTAGCCAGAGGAAATGTTCAATAATTCAGTACCCCCTTTCCCTCGCACACAGCCATGCTTTTAAAGTTCTTTTCCTAGCCCCCTAGCTTTCACGATGTTGTGGCTCTTTTCTATCCTAGCCCCTTGCCACCCGCATCCCTGATGTCGATGCCCTCACCTAGCCTAACACCAACGATGCTGAGGTCCTGTGTTCCTGACCCCACACATACATGTCGTTGACCCACTCCTTTCTTAGTTCCTAGCTACACATCGCCGCTGTTAACACCCTCATATCGTAGCCCCTTGCTACCTACTCTTTCCTATCCTAGCCATATCGACATACTATTCAGTTTGATAACCAGTAATGACATGGTAGGGGGGG